CCCTGTCACAGCCCCCCCAAACCCCCCCGGGGCCGTTGTGGGCAGACACGAACGGATCCGTCCCGGTGCCGCCCGCCACCCCCGCCCGGTGGCACCGGAGCGGGCAGGGCCCGGCCGCTGGGGGGACCCGGGTGTTCCCCGGGGCAAGGGGGGGGTCCCGCACCCCCCGAGCTCCGCAGGGAACGGCTCCGCTCCTCCCGCACGGGAGCGGCCGCCGCTCCTCGTCCCACGGCCCCGAATGCATCCCTGGAATGCGGAGCGGCACATGCCTGCACCGGCAGCTGCCGCCGCCCCCCCCGGGAAAACCGGGATCCCGGGGGGCTCCAAGGGATCCCCGGGGGACTCCAAGGACCCCCACCCGCAGCCCGGAGAGTCGCGGGAAGGTGATCCAGCAGAAAAGCGTGCCCTTGAGCGGGACACCGCCAGCCCGGCCCTGCGGCGGAGCCGGCACCGGCACGGACGGGAATTCCCGCCCGGGAGCGACCGGGAACGGGAGCGGGGACAAGGGGGGACACAGCGGGGGATGGCACGGGCACTGCTCCGCCTGAAAAGGGCTTTTGTTGGGGCTTAGCCCGGCCGGCAGCAGGAACCACAGCCCAACAGGTTCCCGGGCACGGGGCCCCGCCGGCACCGGCAGCGGCACCGGCGGCGGCTCGGGGGCACCGGGGGCGCCGCCACCGCCCTGCTGAGGGCGGGCGCCGGCCGGGACCGCTCCGGTGGAGAGGGATCCCCCAAAGAGGGGCTCTGAGCGCACCCGGAGCGACACGGGGGGGTCCCCATGCTGCTGCCAGCCCCCCCCCCCCCCCCCCGCCGGTGTTACCGGGACCCCGCTGCGGGGAATGGGGAGGGGGCTCGGGGTGGGACCCCCAGCGATGGGACCCAGACAATAGCGGGGTGCGGAAAAGCTACGAGCAGGAGACCCCCCCTCAGCTGGGCTCTGGGACCACCAGCGCCCCCCCCCCCCCATACCCGGACCCCCCCACCCCCCCTCCAGGTGCGCCCCGCCCCCACAGCGGCGGCGCGGGCTCCGGACTTCGCCCTGACACAGAACAGGGACCCCCCCCCCCCCACAGGGACCCCTCCCCACCCTGGGGACCCCCAACACCCCCGGGGGACCCTCCGTGCCACAGAGACCCCACCCCACGTGGGACCCCCATCCCAAGGGGGGCTCCTCACCCCCTCAGGGGATACCCCCCCCTCTGCCCCGCCCCACTGGGACCCCTCCCCACCCCATGGCGACCCCGACCCCAACGGGGACCACTCCCAACGCCGCCGCCCCCACCAGGGACCCCCCCTTCTCGGGGACGCCCGCAGGTAAAGCGCTGTCTCACCCTCCTCCTCCTCCTCCTCACGGGGGTCCCAAGCACCGGAGACCCCCCCGATCCTCCCGGGGACCCCCGCACCCCACGGGGGACCCCTCCCCGTTATTCCCCGTCCCACCCCCCTCCCTCAGGTGAATCTCCCCCTGTGGCTCTCCCGCAGTGCCCGGGGCTCGCCCCCCGCCCCCCGGCCGCGCTCACAGGCTCCGCTCCCGCCGCTCCGTCTCCCGGTGCAGCGCTACCGAGAAGCCGAACAGGGCTCCGCCGGGGCCCTCCTTGAGCACCGGGAAGGTGCGGTCCAGGTTGAAGGCGGCGGCGGCGCCGAGCAGCACCGGGCCGAGCCCGAGCAGCAGCCCCGGCAGGGCCATGTCCCGCACCGGCCGCCGTACCCGCCGTGAGCCCCACCGGGGCCGGTGCGCGGGAGGGGGCGGGGCCGGGCGGGGCCGGGGCGGGGCGGGGCCGCTTCCGGACACGCCCCTTAAAGGGACCGCGCACCGCTCTGCGCTCCGCGGGTACCTGCGAGCGCAGGTGTGCGAGGAGGGACGGGCGGGCGCACCTGGGGCAGCTGCGGGACCCCCGCGGGAGAATCGCGACCCCCAGGCCCCGCCCCTGCCCGGCCACGCCCCCTGCCACACCCTCCGTGTGTCCCCCCACGGCAGCATCGCCGTGGCTGTCACCGTCCCGACCCCGGCAAAGGTCACCGGGAGCCGCCGCGCCGCTCCCACCGTGCCGGGAAATCCGGCTGGGGGGGCTGCAGGATGTCCTGTGCTGTGTCCCCCGCCCCGTGTCCCCGCGCCCCCGTGCCGTGTCACCGGCCCTGGAAAGAGTGACGGCAGCAGGGACACCGCGGGCAGCGCAGCTGGCACTGGCACAGGGACCTCCCTGTGCCCATCCCGTGTCCCGCATCCCCATCCCCTGTGCCCATCCCGTGTCCCAATCCCTCTCCCCATCCCTTGTCCCATTCCCTGTCCCCATTCCCCTGTCCCCTCCCCTTGTCCCCTGTCCCATCCCCTGTCCCCACGCCGGCCCCGCCCGTCGCGCCCCCGGTGACACCGATGACGTCACCGCGCGGTGTCATTGCCCCCAAAGGCCACGAGGTGACGCCATTGACCCAAAGATGCTCGGTGGGGCTGGGGGGGGGGGGGGGGGGTTGGGGGCTCACCAGGGGCACCCCCAGCCCTGTGGGGGACACTCGGGGGGTCCCGACCGGACCCTGAGCCCAGCCCTGCCCGTGGGGTCCCCCCCGAGACCCCCGGGTGCCCCAGAACAGCGATTTGGGGTGCCCCAGCCCCCCAAACCGCCCCCCAGCCCCTCCCCACCCCGAGCTCCCGCATTTGGGGTTCCGCAGGAGCCAGCCCGGCCCGGCAGCCCCAGAGCTCCCAGTGCCAGACTGGTCCGGGACTGGCCGGACCCGCTCCCCCTCCAGCCCCGCTGCCCTCCCCGGCCTCCAGCTCCACAACCGGCTTTTCCTGCCGCGGCTGCCGCTCCCGGCGGGGCCCAGCCCTGGCGACAGCGCGGCTGGAGGGCGACAGCCAGGCTGGGGACCTGCGGATGGCCCGGCGGCTCCCGGGGACCCTGGGAACCTCCCAGGGAATCCCGGCGCGGCTCCCAGGGCTGGGCTGGGCTGCTCCCAGACACTTCTGTCCCCCTCGCGATGAATTCCTGGAATCCCCAGCCACAATTCCCACGTGGGGAGTGAGGTCGTGCTGTTCCCGGGGTCACTCTTGGTCTCCTGCAGAGCCTTCTGCTCCCTTTGGGCATTCATTGCTCCTCTCTTTATTTCTGCCAATCTGTTTCTATTATTTCCATTCCTTTCTCTTTCTATTTCTATTATTTCTATTTCTGTCCTTTTCCTGTTCTCGCTGTTACTCCTATTCCTATTTATTCCTATTCCTACTTCTAATCCTTTTCCTACTCATATTCCTGTTCTTCTTCCTATGCGTTCTTATTCCTCCTCTTATGCATTCCTATTTTATTTATCTGTGTCCCTATTCTTATTCCCATTCCTATTTATTCTTATTTATTCCTATTTGTATACCTGTCCTAATATTATTCTTATTCCCGTTCCTATTTATTCTTATTCCTATTTATTCCTATTTGTATTCCTATCCTAATATTATTCTTATTCCCGTTCCTATTTATTCTTATTCCTATTCCTATTTATTCCTATTTGTATTCCTATCCTATTATTATTATTTTTATTCTTGTTCCCATTCCTGTTCCCGTTCTCATTCCCGTTCCCCTCTTCCCATTTTCCTCTTCCCATTCCTGCTCCTTTCCCATTCCACATTTTTCTCCCTCTTTCCTCGCGTTTAGGGCGGTACCGGGACTCGAACCCTCGGTACCGGAACGTTCCGGCGGTACCGGGACTCGAACCCGGGGCCCCGGCGGTTCCGGCAGTAGCGGGACTCGAACCCGCGCCCCCTGAGACGCGGTGCAGTTCCAGCCATGGCCGCCAGGCGGAGCCGTTGCCCCGCGCGGCGGGACGGGCCGGGGGGACCCGGGGGGCACCGCGGGGACAATGCGGGGAGGGGGGACGGGGACACCACACCCAGGGGACAGGAGGGGACACACGGAGGACAGCAGGGGACACATGGGGGACAGGAGGGGACAGCCCTGCCGGGTCACGGACCCAGCCCCCCCCCCCAGCCCCCCGGTTCCTGTCAGGGGAAGCTCCTGCCCGCAGCAGCAGAGACCCCTCCCCAAAAACAAGAGTCTCACTTGCAGAGCCCCCCCTCTCCAGGCGCCCCCCGGACAGCCCTGCTGGTGGCCGGGGGGAACCAGGGATGGCCCGGAACCCCCGGCTGGGTCACGCTCTGGGGGCCCTGGGGGCAGCAGAGAGGTCACGGCTCTGAGTAGGGGTGGGAGAGGGACACAGAGCCCCGGGGTGTCCCCCCAAAATCAGCGCTTGTCCCTGCCCCGAGGTGCCCCCAGCGCGAGGGGAGCGTGGCAGGGTTGGGGGTACAGGAGGATCCTCGGGGGGCTCTGCCTGGGGGTGGTGTTGGACTGGGGGACGTTGCTGGGAGAAGGGGGAGCAGGGGAGAATTGGGAGGCCACAAACAAACCCCTAAAGCACGGATCCATCCCAGACCCAAACCCCATCCCCCCTTCCCTGCCCCACAACAAACACCCCCAAACATCCTCCAAAAGCCCCAAAGTCCCCTTGTAAACAACCCCATCCTGCCCCACACAGTGCCCCCTGTGTCCCCAGGACCCCCCCCTCCTGCAGACAGGACCCTGCACACTTTATTTACCCCCTCACCCTCCTTCACCCACTCTTTGTTGTTTCTTGAGAGACAGAAAGAAAAAAAAAAAAAAAAAAAAAAAGAAGAAGAGAGAGAGAGAGAAAAAAAAAAAAAACCCACACAGGAGGAGGCAGGAGCCTATTTTGCCTCCCAGGCAATATTTCTGGAGCCAATCGGAATGCGCACCCACCCTGCCCTGCTCCCTAATTAAAGGCTTTAAGCAGGCGGCCGGGGCCGGAGGTTTGGGCACAGTGTCTCGGTGGCTCCTCGGAGGCAGCAGCAGCAGCAGCAGCAGCAGCAGCAGCAGCAGCAGCCGCAGCAGCAGCAGCAGCAGCAGCCGCAGCCCCAGCGCCGATCCCAGCTCGGGGCGCTCCAGGCCGCCAGGTTGGGGGGTCCCCGGCGCGGGCCCGCAGCCGCCCCCTCCCCGCTGCCCGCCATGAGCGGCTCTTTCGATAAGAAGCTCTCCAGCATCCTGACGGACCTCTCGGGCTCGCTGAGCTGCCATGCAGCCTCCAAGGACTCTCCCACCCTGCCCGAGTCCTCGGTCACCGACCTGGGCTACTACACGGGCCAGCACGACTTCTACCCGGGCCAGTCGTACGGGCAGCCCGTGGGCCACTACCCCTACCCGCAGTTCAACCTCAACGGCATCGGGGCCGCGGGCACCTACTCGCCCAAATCCGAGTATTCCTACAGCCCCTCGTACCGCCAGTACGGGCACTTCAGGGAGCAGCAGCTCCCGGCGCAGGAGGCAGGTACGGACAGACAGACGGACAGGGGGGACCGGGAACGGGGCGGCCCCGCTGCTCCTGCGGGGCTCCGGAGGGGCCTCGGTGGGGTTTGAACCCTGGGATTTGTGGGGTTTAAACCCTGGGATTTGTGGGGTTTAAACCCTGGGATTTGTGGGGTTTTACGCCTGGGATGTGTGGGGTTTTATCCTGGGCTTTTGGGGGTTTTAACCCTGGGGTTTGTGGGGTTTTACCCCTCGGACTTTGTGGGGTTTAAACCCCCCGAACTTTGTGGGGTTTTACCCCTGGGCTTTTGGGGTTTTAACCCTGGGATTTGTGGGGTTTAAACCCCGAGCTTTGTGGGGTTTAAACCCCCCGAACTTTGTGGGGTTTAAACCCCGAGCTTTGTGGGGTTTTACCCCCCGAGCTTTGTGGGGTCTCACACCTCGGGCTCTGTGGGGTTTTAAACCCCGGGTTTTGTGGGGTTTTACACCCTGGGATTTGTGGGGTTTTAACCCTGGGCATTTGTGGGGTTTTAACCCCCCGATCTTTGTAGGATTTTACCCCCCCGAGATTTATGGGGCTTTACCCCCCCCGATCTTTCTGGGGTTTTGCACCCTGGGCTTTGTGGGATTTTAACCCTGGAGCTTTGCGGCGTTTTAGCCCTCAGAGTGTCCCCAGTTTGTGGGGTTTTAACACCCCGCTTTTCGTGGGTTTTAACCCCGAGGTCTTTATGGGGTTGGGCCCCTCCGTGTGTCCCCTCTTTGGGGACAGGGACCTCCTCCTGGTGTCCCCGCTTTGGGGACAAGGGGCTGCTGGCGGCTCAGCCGTTCCCGCGGGGACGCACCGGGACCGATCCGTGCTGGATGCAGAGTCCGGGAACGTCCCGGGGGTGTCCCAGAGATTGTGGGGGCAGGGGATGGGGCGATGCCAGCACCCGAGCGGGGTGACAGCGAGCTGGGGACGGGGGGGACACCGGGCTGGGGACGGGGGTGACACCGAGCCCCGGGAGCCTTTCACGCCTCACCCGCGCCCTCCCGCAGTGTCCGTGAAGGAGGAGCCGGAGCCCGAGGTGCGGATGGTCAACGGGAAGCCCAAGAAGATCCGCAAGCCCCGCACCATCTACTCCAGCTACCAGCTGGCCGCCCTGCAGCGCCGCTTCCAGAAGGCGCAGTACCTGGCACTGCCCGAGCGCGCCGAGCTGGCGGCACAGCTGGGGCTCACCCAGACCCAGGTGAGGCTGGACCCCCACCCCCGGCACCCCAAATCGCCTCCCCGGCACCCCAAATCCCTCCCCGACACCCCCAAATGCCTTCCCCGACTGCCCAAATCCCCTCCTCGACATCCCAAATCCCTCCCAGATACTCCAAATCCCTCCCCGACACCCCAAATCCCCTCTGTAAATGCTGGATTTGGGACGGGCTCGGCTCATCACAAGGATGGAGCTCCCCCCTTGCTGGGATTTGTGGGGTACCGGGGTGAGATTTCCCCATTGGAAGGAAAGGTGGAGAGGCAGCGCAGGGAGAGGGGACCCCAGGCGTGCCCCACTCGGCAGATTTGGCGTTTTTCCCAGTCCATTCAGCCGCCGGCCCCGTCCCAGAGCTCCCTGTTGGGTTTGGGGTTTGGAGTTTGGGGTTTGGGGCTGGTCCTGCCTGGCACCCGTGCCAGTCCCGGGTCAGGGCACGCCCGCTGTCCCAGGAATGTGGGGCACCGAGTCTCGGGGCTCTCGGGACATCCCATCCCCACAGCGGCTCCTGACCCCAAATCCTGCCAGAACAGGGACCCGAGGCTCCCTGCCTGCCCAGACTTCCCGGGGCTCCCCTGCCCCGTCCCGCTCGGTTCGTGCCGGCAGAAGGGATTTGGGGACCGGTTCCACGCCCGTGTCCCCAGCGCTGGGGTGGCCCTGCAGGCTGGACTGGAAGAGCCGGGACGTGCGGGAAGGGCTTCTCCTCCTCCTCCTCCTCCTCCTCCCGCGAGCCGCCCGCCTTCCAACCAAACCCTCTTGGGGTTCTTGGGGTCCCGCCTGGCACGGGGACAAATCCTCCCCTTGGCTCTGTGGGGACAGCGCTGTCCCCGCTGTCCCCGCAGCCCGCGACTCCCCCGCGCCCCATCGCGGTGCCCTCCCTGCCTCGGGGCCGGCGCCGGCGCCCTTGTGCCGCCCTTGGCCTTCCTCCTCCTCCTCCTCCTCCTCCTCCTCCTCCCTTGGGCGATGAAGCAATCGGGGCCACTCGGCAAAGGGCTGACGGAGCGCGTCACCCGCTCCCAGAGGGACATCCTGTTTGGGTGACAAGCAGCGCCACCCCCGCCCCTCGCCCAGGGCGTCCAGCGCCGCCTCGCCCAGCGCGGGGACGCTCCCGACGCCCGGCGAGTGGCGTGACGGGCTCCTCGTGACGCCCGTGTCCCCAGAGGGGGCTCGGTGACACCCCAGAGGGGGCACGTGGGGGCTGTGCCTGTCCAGGAAATGTCACTGTCCATGGAATGTCCGTGCCCCTGTCCGTGGATGTCCATGGAGTGTCCATGGTGTATTCATGGTGTGCCCATGTCCATGGAGTGTCCATGTCCCTGTCCATGGAGTGTCCATGTCCCTGTCCATGATGTGTCCATGGATGTCCATGGAGTGTCCATGTCCCTGTCCATGATGTGTCCATGGAGTGTCCATGGATGTCCATGATGTGTCCATGGATGTCCATGGTGTGTCCATGGAGTGTCCATGATGTGTCCATGTATGTCCATGGTGTATTCATGGTGTGTCCATGTCCATGGAGTGTCCATGTCCCTGTCCATGATGTGCCCATGGATGTCCATGGTGTGTCCATGTCCATGGAGTGTCCACGTTCTCCGTGACACTCACACCAAGGGTGACATCCCAAGTGTCCCATGACACCCCTGTCCCCAGGAGTTTCCTGCTATGCACCATTTGGGGTCCCCATGATGTCCCTTAGTGTGGCGCCTCATGTGCCACCTGTGTCCCTTGTCCCTTCCTATGTGCCAGAGTGTGTCCGGGGTCACTGTGACCCTCTTGTCCCTTCCCGTGTCTCTGGGGTCACCCTGACCCCCTTGTCCCTTCCCGTATCTTTGGGGTCACTCTGACCCCATGTCCCTTGTCCCTTCCCATGTTTTTGGGGTCACTGTGACCCCCATGTCCCTTCCCGTGTCTCTGGGGTCACCCTGACCCCCATGTCCCAGGCTGGTTCCAGTGCCCAGGGAATCCCCTGTCACCCCAATATCCCTTCCTGTATTTCTGGGCTGCCCATGACCCCCTTGTCTGGTGTCCCTACGATCCAAACCACGCCATCCCTGTCCCCTCCCCTCTCCCCCATCCCTCCCATTCCCTTCCCAGCTCTCTGACCCTTTTCCCTGTCCCCATCCCATCCCTCCCATTTCTGTGCCAGGTCCTGACCCTTTTCCCTGTCCCCATCTCACTCTCCTGCTCCCTTCCCATCTCTCTGACCCTTTTCCCCGTCCCCATCCCTCCCATTCCCTTCCCATCTCTCTGACCCTTTTTCCCACCCTCCCTGTCCCTTCCCACCTCTCTGACCCTTTTCCCCGTCCCCATCCCATCCCTTCCATTCCTGTGCCAGGTCCTGACCCTTTTCCCTGTCCCCATCCCATGTTACCACTCCCTTCCCATCTCTCTGACCCTTTTCCCTGTTCCTATCCCATGCCTCCCATTTCTGTGCCAGGTTCTGACCCTTTTTCCTGTACCCATACTTCCCATTCCCTTCCCATCTCTCTGACCCTTTTCCCGGTCCCCATCCCACCCTCCTGCTGTGTTCTCAGCTCTCTGACCCCATCTCACCCTCCCATTCCCTTCCTGGGGCTTTTCCCTGTCCCCATCCCACTCTCCTGCTCCCTTCCTGGCTCTCTGACCCTTTTCCCTGTCCCCATCCCTCCCATTCCCTTCCCATCTCTCTGACCCTTTTCCCTGTCCCCATCCCTCCCATTCCCTTCCCATCTCTCTGACCCTTTTCCCTGTTCCTATCCCATACCTCCCATTTCTGTGCCAGGTCCTGACCCTTTTCCCTGTACCCATCCCTCCCATTCCCTTCCCCACCTCTCTGACCCTTTCCCCTCCTCCCCGCAGGTGAAGATCTGGTTCCAGAACCGGCGCTCCAAGTTCAAGAAGCTCTACAAGAACGGCGAGGTGCCCCTGGAGCACAGCCCCAACAACAGCGACTCCATGGCCTGCAACTCCCCTCCGTCCCCGGTGTGGGACAGCCCCGGCGCCGCCCGGACCCCGCTGCCGCAGCCGCTGCCCTACAGCTCCTCGCCGGGCTTTTTGGATGAGCACAACCCCTGGTACCACCCCCAGAGCCTCAGCGGCCCCCACGGACCCCCCCAGGCCCAGGCGGCGCCCCCAATGCACCACCCGTCCCCCGGGCCCCCCAGCACGGGCGCCGTGTACTGACCGCGGGCACAGAGACGCTGCACAACTCCTTGGCCTCCTTTTTTTTGATCCCCCTCATCCCCGTGGTTTGGGTTTTGTCTCCTGATTTGTCCTAAAAAAAACCCAAAAAACCCAACAACAAACCAAAGGAAAAGCACCCCTAGAAATGCTCCGCTCATCTCAGGACCCAAAGCTGCAAAGCCTCCACTCCCGGCGCAGGGAAATCCTTCAGGACTTTTGAATTTCTGAATTTTTTCCATCACCTTCTTCTTCACTCCTCGCCGGAGCTTTGCCTGCTGCGGTGACCCCGCCGGGCCGGAGGAGCCGTGTCACCACTGTCGCGACAGAGCGACAGGAGCGTGTCTGTCGCCAGCGGAGAGGGAGCTGCTCAGCCCCGGCTCCGGAATCGCTTTTGGGGCTCACAGACCCCCCACCCCAGCCGGAATCACCCGGGACCGTGCTCAGACCAGAAGGTGGTGATTTAAAATTAAATAAAAAATTGTGTAGCGGGTGGGGGGGGGGGGGGGTGAGGGGAAGGAAATATTTTAATATTTAAGCAGTTCAGGAATGGGTTTAAGTTATTGTTCGAAGAGAGAAACTCGTGTTCATCTCCGTTTTCTGGCTGTGCCTCTGGCTGTGGGTAAAGGGACGGCGAAAATGCCTCTTTTTTAAGGAAATCGACGACTTATTTTAAAGGAAAAAAAAAAAGAACCGAGCTCTTTCCTATTTTTTAAGAGAATAACGCTATTTTTTTAAGCAGAAAGTGCCGTTTTAAGGAGTGTTCATAGTGTTGTACAGTCCCGGGGATTTATTTATGTTGCCTTCTATAAATAGGGGTGTTTTGGGGGGAAAAAAAGGGAGTGTACATAAGGTTCGTTTGTATAAAGTTGTTCCAAACCAAACTGGTTTCGGTCTGGGTTTTTTTTGTCTATAATTTTTCTTTTTTTTTCCTAAGGAAAATCCCCCCCTGTTGATGGGAACCCCCCTCGGGTGTCCCTGAGTGTCCTTTGCTCCTTCCCCAGGGACCCAAAGCCGGGTTGGGAATGTTCATTAATAAAAATTCTGAATTTAAAGCTCCAAATTCCGCTTTTCCCCCTGTTTCTGGAGGGTTTTGGGGAGCAGCGTTTGGGGTTTTTCCACCTTGGGAAACGCGGATTTAAACCCCATTTTTGGGGACAGCTGCGCACGGGGTGGCACCGGGTGGTGTTGCCTCACCCCAAACCCCATTTTGTCCTTCTGAGAGGGAATTTAGGGCAGGAAAATGAAATTTTTTTCCCGGTTTTCAGAGCATTCCCTAAATGGCCGCGGGATCCTGCTGCTCCTACTGTGACCAGTGATCTCCCAGCCTGCTGTGCCCCCATGTCCCTTTTGGGGACACCGAGGTGGGGACAGCCAAACCCTCAAAGTTCCCAAAATCGGTGGGATTCGCACATTCCCTGCGGGTTTGGGGCGCTCCCCTGACCCCAGGAGCCCCAGAGGGGTGTCCAGGCTGTGGTGGCCCTGTCCTGCTGTCCCCAATGTCCCCCTCGCTGTGTCACGGGTGTGGGGTCTCCATCACCCCCGATGGCCGCGGGACCCCAAACCCCTCTTGGTTCCACTGGGGAGGCTCAGTGTCCCCAAATGTGTCCCCAAATGTTTCCCCAAAGGTGTCCCCAGATGTGTCCCCAAACGTGTCCCCAAGCAGGGACAAGCTCCCACCTCGCCCCCAAATCCCCCCACAAGCCGCAGCCCCAAATCCCCGTTCCCAATCCCACGGGAGGAGGAGGACGAACCGGAGCCCGGAGCTCCAACCGGCGCTTCGGAGGTTTCGCTTTAGATTTTATTTATTTAATTTTTTAAATTTAATTTTTTTTTTTCTCATTTAGAGGAGGAAAAAAAAAAAAAATCCCCAGGAAGGCGTTGGGTTACATATCCAGGGTTATGTAAATCCCGGGTGCCGCGCTGCCCACGGCCGGGCGAGAGCGGCGCTCCCAGCGCTGCCTGCACACCGTGCTGGCCCGGGAACGCCCGGGACAGACCCGGAGGATCCGGGACAAACCTTGGGGGGCTGTGGGACAAACCTGGGAATGCCCGGGACAAACCCGGGAACGGCCGGGACGAAGCTGGGGAGCACAGGGACAAACATGGGGGGATCCGGAACAAACCTAGGGGGCTGCGGGACAAACAAGGGAACGCCCGGGACAAACCTGGGGAGCACAGGGACAAACATGGGGGGATCCAGGACAAACCTGGGAATGCCCGGGACAAACCCCAGAACGGCCGGGACAGACCTGGGGAGATCCGGGACAAACCTGGGGGGATCCAGGACAAACCCGGGATGGCAGGACCGGGATCCTGTGGGTCCCAGCGGGGCGATGACAGTGCCAGGGTGGCAGTGCCAGGTGTGACAGTGCCAGGGGCCGCAGCGCCGGGGATGGCAGCGATGGGGGTGACAGTGCCAGATGTGGCATTGCCAGGGATAGCAGTGACAGGTGTGACAGTGCCAGGGTGGCAGTGCCAGGAGTTGCAGTAACAGGTGTGATAGTGCCAGGTGTGACAGTGCCAGGTGTGACAGTGCAGGTGTGACAGTGCTGGGGGTGGCAGTGCAGGGATGGCAGTGCCAGCTGTGACAGTGCCGGGTGTGCCAGTCCCGGGGTGGCACTGCCCGTGCCCCGCTGTCCCCCCGGGCCCAGCAGAGCCCTCCCAGCGCGCTCCCGGCTCCTGCCCCGTTGCGACACCCGCAGCCCTTGCGTCACCCGGTGCCAGCCCCGGGAGCGGGGGCAGCGCCCGCCCACGGCCCGGCCCGGCAGCCCCAGCCCTGGAGCCGGGCCCGGCCCAGCCTCGGCTCACCGGAGCCACGCCGGAGTCACGGGGCCGGCGGGGAACCGGGAGGGTCCCGAAAACGGGACAGCATTGCCACTTTAGGGGATCTGTCCCTGTCACCTCAGCACCGGCCCTTGGGGGGTCTGTCCCCATCATCGCCCCCTTAGGGGTCTGTCCCCATCACCGGCCCTTAGGGGGTCTGTCCCTGTCACCCCGGGTCTGTCCTGATGGGCACAGGGAGGTGACACCGCCGCCCAAAGCCACCCCATTCCCTGAATCCTCACTAGGGAGGGTGGGCTCCATCCTCGGGGAAAATCCCACTGGGAGCATCGCCCACCACGGCCTGGCCATGGATCCCAGCCCTGGGCTCCACAGCCCTGTGGGGACAGCTGGGGACACCTAGGCCATGGGATCAGCACCCTGGGGACACCTAGGCCATGGGGTCAGCACCCTAGGGACACCCATCCCATGGGATCTGCACCCTGGGGACACCCATCCCATGGGATCAGCACCCCAGAGCCCTCAGCTGAGGGACCAGAGCTCCCAGGAATGGGGACAGGGGTGTCCCCAGGGCCACCAGCCCCAGACAGGCTCCCATTTCCATCCCAGCCCCGATCCCTGCCCTTGATCCTGACCCCTCAGGTGGGATCTGGGGATAACCCCGTCCCTGAAGGTGCAAAAAGGTGCAAAACCAGAGCAGGTCCTGGAAAAGGGCAGGAAGGGGCCCTGGGGGCCAGGGATCACAGAGTGGGAATATTGGGAGCCAGGATTGTGGGTTGGGAATTTCAGAAATCAGGATCATGGAGTGGAAATATCAGGAATGAGGATCATGGGAGGAGAATGTTGGGGGCCAGGATCATGGGGTGGGAATTTCAGGGGTCAGGATCATGGAACGGGAATACTGAGGGCCAAGATCATGGGGTGGGAATATCAGGAACCAAGATCATGGAATGGCAATATCAGGGGTCAGGATCATGGAGTGGGAATATCAGGAACCAGCATCAGGGGTGGGAATTTCAGGATCAGGATCATGGAATGGCAATATCAGAAACCAGGATCACAAGGTGGGAATATCAGGAACCAAGATCATGGAATGGCAATATCAGGAACCAGGATCATGGAGTGGGAATTTCGGGAACCAGGATAATGGAATGGCAATATCAGGAACCAGGATCAGAGGTGCCAGGGGGGAGGAGCTGCTGCCCCTCGGTCAGGGGAGCCCCAGCAGGGTCTGGCCCCCAACACAGGGCACAAACACGGAGCAGGGTTGGGGAAAGGGGGAAATAACCACATGGAGAGGCAGGGAAACGACAAGGATTTATTTCCAGCCGGGTTCTGGCCTCTGGAAGCACAAAGCCAAACCCACCCTGCTCCCAAACACCCTCCTGGCTCCTGTGGGGTCACCGGGCAGGGACCTGGGCTCAGCTGGGGTGCCCAGCCTGGCCCGTGTCCCCCTGGCCTCCCAGTGCCACCCCTGCTGGGGGACACAGCTCTGACAGCTCCAAACTGCCCCAAAATCCCCGCAGGGGGGGCCGGGAGGGCCTCATGAGCCCCCACCCCACAATTCCTGTAACTGGAATCCATTTCGGGCAGATGTTGGGGGGACACAGCCCCAGCCCCCAACCCTGCACCCCCAGCCCCTCTGGCTGCTTCCCCAGGGACTGGAGAGCCTGAGGCTCTGCATGGCAGCGTCTCCCCCAAAGCAGGGGCGCCCCAAAGTGCAGAGGGGCAGAACCAACAGATGCTCAGCCTGTTTATAAACGGGGCACAACCAAAACCCACAGAGTTCATAAATAAATCCAGGCCAGGATGCCGGGACTCCTCAACCCCTCCTGGGGTCCCCCTGCCCCTCCTGGGGTCCCCCTGCCCCCTGTCCATGATTGGGGGGACCCTGGGCCGAGTCCTGTCCCGCTGGGATGGCGCGGGGTCACTGCAGAGTGTGACAGAGCAGGACATCCCCGTGTCCTGCCCGTCCTTGTCACCTTCCTCCTCCTCTTCCTCCTCCTCCTCCTCCTCCACTCGGGCTTCGCTGAGCTCTCAGTCCGGCGGGGGACAGAGGCAGAGCGTCCCCCCCGGTGTCCCTCGGTGTCCCTCGATGTCCCTCGGTGTCTCTCAGTGTCTCTCAGTGTCCCTCGGTGTCCCTCCGGACGCGGTGGCGCTGGAGCGGCGGCAGTGTCACATCATGGGGGCCCTGGGGATGGCGTCCTGCGGGTGGGGCT